ACTGTTTCTTAGGGCAAATAATTATAATAATAATAATAATAAGCGCAGGAAGGGATGCTCCAAAGTTGCACAGTATTAGCGTTAAAGTTATGCTCACATTCAAATAAGTGGTGTTGATATAAAAACTAACAGTATTTATATCGTTTTTACCTCTTGTAACCACAGCCACGTCCAAGTGATCTGAGGGCACAAAAAATGTGTACTTACATTTACGAGTCATTAAATCATGTTTAATTTGGACTTCTCTGTGCATGCTCTTTGAGGTGGTGACCATAGACCTCCATTATACGACTGACAGACAAGAACGGTTTGACCTAAAAATATCAAAACTGAAAATACTGTGGAAACAAAGACACCTACATCTTGGATGTCCTTGAGGTAAGATAAAACATACCAAAAATTAATTTCAAAGTGAACTATCCCTTTAATACGAGGTTTGTGGTAAGATGAGATAGAACTGACCTACAGTAAGAGACGGGAAAAAAATAGAAAACTGACATTTTTTTGAGTGCCACAAAAGAAAACACCTGTTTTCATTTTGTCACGTGTTGTCACGTCTGCCCTTCTTTTACAGCATCTGCATTTTCATCCATCTTGTGGATGTCCTGGGAACTAAGATTCACTTAAAGTAGGAACTGAATTGATTTTCCAACAGAATTGTTCTTTACACAGAATGTCACAGACTATAAAACGATGTCGTATGTCTTGCACACACCCAATCTATGTTAAATATGAGAGGTCAATTTGGTGAAAGGAAGCTCTTCACACGCAATTATACCTGGTGTTGAATTTCATTTTTAGCTCTGTGCATTTTTTCTCATGTAGACAACGTGTTAAGTAAAAATATAAGGATTATGTGAGTGTATATATTTAGCAAAACGTCCCTTTCTGTAGTTATTTTTCTAGCTAATTAACGAGTTTATGAGCATTGAATGGCTTTTCTGGGATAAATTTGATGTGACAGGATTGTTCTCAAACTGTTTTACACAAGCTCTTTCCAAGGGCGAAATTCTGATTGAGCGATCTGTCAGGCCACATTAAGCACCAAAACTACATTTATTGCTTGTATTTCATGATAAAATTGACAGAATTTGAAAGCTGAATGTTTGTTAATTGTTTACTTAAATTAACAAACATTAAAGGTGACAATTAAGTACAAATCTTAGTGCGATTATGGAGAGCTGAGCTACAAATAATGTGAAGTTCAGGCAGTATCCCGCCCTCACACGTGCAGAAACGTTTAGTACAGTTTACACCAGAACAACTCATTAGACATGTAGAGATTAAATTTGAAGCTCCAATCTCCTCCCGAAAATCCCCCAAAAAAGTCTGTTGGTGCCTCAGTGACTCCTTCGTTTAGAGAAGCTGTCAATCACAGCTGTCAATCATGACGTCACATTCCTGTTTTTATTGCACCAAATAACTAACTAAGACCAAACCCATTTAAAAAACGAACAATTAAACTTACATCAGCGTGATAAACACAACCTAAAAAATTACAGTGACACAGAAACACGCACTGAACTCCAGGCTGCTCCAGAGGGACTGGCTATGCAATTAGCATTCTGTCCCTTTCCTTTACAAGAAACTGACTGCTAAATGACAACTAATCTAAATTCGAATGAATACCTAAAGAATTTCTCTCAGACTGTTTTAATGGAGGCAATATTCCTCGTCTGAGCTTGTCCGGCAGAGATTAATGCACAAGAGTTAATTGCTGTATATGTCAATGGAACCCAGAATGAAGGTGAGTGAAAAACTTTATAAAAGATGGTCTAGTGATTTTTCACCAAAAACAAAATTGGGAGGATAGAGACAAGGGAAAAGAGCTGAAAATGTATATTGAGTGTATTTCCATTTATAATTTTTAGTTTTTTTAGTTAGTTTAGTTTTAGTTGAGTTTTTTTCAACTGTTTACACACAAAATCCTTACTTGTCACACAATTCCTGAAACCTGACACTAAAACACCATAACCACACACCAAATCTGCAAAACCACACAGCAATTCTTGGCCTTCGACTCGGTTTTTAATTTCATATAACACTTTTTGCAAACCGCAACACACAATTCTCTATGTAACACACAAATATCTAACAGGAAGTATCTTGATTTCCTTTTTCAAACATCATCAATTGAATGCCTTTCAGTGTTCTTGGATTTATGATCAGCTTTTTAGTCAAAGTTAGAGTTTGTTTATCATGACACAGAACTGAGTAACACGGATTAATGTCCGTATTCATTCATTCGTTTCGTGAAATTAAATGTTTATGAGATATTCAAAGATTTGAGCAATTAACAGCCATTACCATTTACTTTTTTTGTTTAACGATTCAATCAATATCATTTTAGACAGAACTGTTAAACGGAGACAGTAACTATGACGGAGAATAGAGAGCCTAAGTCCCTCCCCTTCCGGTCGACCACCATGGGACCTTATTTTGGAAAAATATTGTATGGTAGTCAATGGCGAGAGACAACAAATATTTTGATCTCGTTTGAATTGTGCCCTGAATTACACATATGATGTTTGTCAATTTAAAAGATACATTTTAAAGTAAAGAAAGTCGCAGTTTGATGTAAAACCGTTGAGGTATAAGACTGTGAAAATACGTAATTACAAAGACTACAAACCCCAAAGGCGCACATTTTCCCTCAATGAATGAAGCTAACTTTGCTGAGGCTAATGTCTGTCATTGTTTCTACAGTCTTACGTTATAATCGTAACGTAACGCCGTCATGCCTGAGTGTTTTGTACCAGACTGCACACACACGAGCAGCGGATCTCACTCGTTGTTTCGCTTCCCGGGAGATGTAGTTCATAGAGCGATTTTCACATAAAACTAAATGTTACTCTTCTGTTTTATGACAAACTGCGACGTTTTTGATTTTCAGAATTATCTTTTAAATTGACAAACATCATATGTGTAATTGAGGGCACAGTTCAGACGGAATAAAAAGATAAGTCGTCTCTCGCCATTGACTACCATTCATATTTTTTCCGAAATAAGGTCCCATGAGCCGGAAGCGGAGGGGCGGGACTTAGGCTCTCTATGGGAGCACTGTTTGGGCAGGCGCTGGCGTTCTTAGCATTGTCAAAATAAAAGTCCCACTTCTGACACATCATCCAAAAAGAAAAAAAAAACAATATAAAAAATTTGGGCAATTTATGCCAAATATCGGACGATATGTCATCATTGGCTATATATTAGTCAACCGCTACTTTAAATATTGACAGGTCTTTCCCTTTTCTAAAAAACAAAAAAAAAACAAAAAAACAAAAAAACAAAGCACTATTTTAAATTTTTTTGTCTATGCAAAGCATCCTAGGAATTTTTTTCAAATTAAAGACAAGTTCATTGTTATCACAATATTTATTTTATTTTTTTTAATTAACGCAGACATTTTAGATAAAAGTTGGGGTAATAATCTCCTGAATTCCTTTAAAAGTGTGTCTTTCTCACTTTCTCTCTCTACTTCACCGTGGCCTTGGCACTCAGCGCTGGCATTAGGATCTCAGTGCCAGCTGGTGTGTGTGGGTTTCGATTCCCTGTGTGGAGGCTTTGTGTTAAAGGAACATCATGTGTGACATCAGCGCAGTAAAAGCACAGCCCTGATGAAACCTGTTCTGACTGCACCTGAGCCTGGGGGTGGAGAAGTCACAGTCTGACCGGCCCAGCGCACTCACACGGAACATGTTCAGAGATTTTCTGCCATCGCAAATTACTGGCTGTTATTTTCTGGCCACAGAACCAGCGGACATCAGACCCACTTTGCACAATTAAAATCACCGTTGTATTGATTTTTATTTCAAGGTACACCAATAGATTTTCTGTTTGTTCCACTGTAAAAAACCCATGCACAACAATTTAAAAAAACCAAAAAGTTTTTTTTTTCTTGTTGAGGAAATTGCACTAAACAAGAATACTTAATTGAACAATGTTTTGCAAGTTCCCAGCATGCATTCGAGCTTGAAATAATGATGTGGTGACTATTATTAAAACGTTTTTACAAGCTTAATTTATGCTGCCGTTGTCACCGTTAGTTAGACGTCGGATTAATCCGATTAATATTTTTGAGATTTGTGCATCTCATCGAAACTTAGAGATTTAAAATATTTTGTCATGTCATGAAGTGGGCTTTGAAAATCAAATATGATGAAATAACGAGGTTTGTAGCCAGTTGCATTGCTAAATACTAAACCATCTTAAGGTGCCTTAAGCATTTGATGTTAAGTTTTCAGTTGTTAGTTGAGTTAAATTACAAAGTTGACCGTAATTTTTTTTTATTTTAAGTCAGATCAACATTTTCCAGTACCGATATGAGAGTGATCTTGGACTTCATACTGATGCTTGTCAGCAATGCATTTTTGTTTAGTAGCTTTGTCAAAATGCATTAACGCACACGTTCTAACCTATCAAAACTGAGCATTCAGATATGACATTTTTTTTCCATTTTATTGTTGAATTTGAGTAAAATGCTTCAGAGCTCACACATTTAAGCAAAGACCCACACCACTAAACAATCCTGCCATAAATGTTCCATAAAATTAGCATTATGCAGATAATCAACAGTGTTTCATCACCAGGGTGCAAAAATGCGTGATCGTGGCATAATTTTATGCATAGTAAGATTGTTGCGGTGATCATTTACACGAGACAAGAAACTTGTCATTAAAGTAAAGTGAGGTATATAATCTGTCATTAGACTCTAATTATCCCATCCTGCAGTTTGTGCAGCTGTCATCCGTGTGCAGATAAATGTATTCTCTCAGTTCAGAGAATTACAGCATTTATTATTCAGCCACAGCCATTATCACCCCAATCAAGACCACATTTATCAGTGGGAGGCTGAACACAATATAAATGCCACGCACTTCCACACGGTCACATGTGCACACACACACACACACACACACACACACGTTAATCACATGTATGGACATATGCGTGTTAATGGTTTCAGCTCTTCTGAGAGTGTGTGAGATGAGAGAGAGACTCACTGTCGGGCATCCGCCATCATTCTGGTCCTCCAGGAATCCAATTCTGCAGAGCGCCTTATCGTTCTTCAGCCAGTACTCCGACGAATCCAGAACACTGTTGCTGCACAAAACCTGACACAAACACACACTTTTATCAGACCGACAACACTTCAAAACGTCCATACATCCATTTCATCCACCTTTTTGAAAATACCATTCAAGCATTTTGTGAAGTTCACATGTGTGATTGGATTTTGCCAAGAAAGATATCTGATGTCATGATCACACACTTCATGTCAGTGTGTCATGTTTTGACACCGTCACCCGTGGCTTGCTTAGTTGGGTACACTTAACATTCAACTATATTATTGATCTGACTGCATTGACACCATTTCAAAAGACATTTTTTTAGCACACTGAACAGCTGCCGAAATGGGTCATTTTCCTGTTATTGCTGTAAAGCTGCTTTGAAACAATCTGTATTGTATAAAACGCTAGAAAAAAGCCAACTTGACCTGGAAATGTTTGGCATGGCTTTTGCATGTATTAGGTTTTGCATGCATTAGATTTATGATGAGGTTTTCTGTTTTATTTTAAATTCATACCCAAATGTACAATTCAAAATTATAGAGGACTAGAAGTAGCATTATAAAGAAAAATGTCAGTCAATTACAGTAAATGCACCCAAAACATGTTAATTTAAAAAAATGGGTAAAATTGACAAATAAACATTTTATTAAATTTTATTATTTTATGATAAAAATAATAATTAAGTTTTTAATTGAATTTTTTTTTTAATTTTTCAAGTTGACATAGTCGAAAGCATGTTTAAAATATTAGTTCAATGTTAACTTTAACAACTCATTTAAATTGCATTTAACACATTTTTTTAATAGATTTTCTTTATCCATTTGCCAACTGCGTTTCTTCATCTTCTTGTCAACTGTGTTAAGAAATGCCATTGGACAGTTCACACGCATCAAATGAACCAAATTTAAAGACCTGACTTCTTGATGTACAATCACCAGCTAAGAAAAATGGTGATTATTATTTATTGCAATATTTGACTACATTTTTAAACATGTTTTAAATTTTATATCATCATGCCCTGAAGAAGGCTCCATGCCGCTACACTCTTAGAAGAAAAGGTTCTATATAGAACCTTAAAAGGTTCTATCAGCGCTACGTATTTGGAACCCCTAAATGTTCTATAAAAAAGGGTTCCTCTGGGTTCTATACACTCTAAAAAATGCTGGGTTGTTTTAACCCAATTTTGGGTCAAATATGGACAAACCCGAAATGTTGGGTTAAAAATGTAATGTAAAAATTTAACCCAACGGCTGGGTTAGTCCATATTTGACCCAAAGTTGGGTTAAAACAACCCAGCATTTTTTAGAGTGTATAGAATACTTGGCCAATAGAACCTTTTACCAAAAAATGGTTCTATATAGAACCATTTTGAAGTTCCATATATGAAGCGGGGGATGGAACCATTTCTGGTTCTAAATAGAACCATTTCTTCTAAGAGTGCCACATGGGCATTTTAAATTTGTCCGTTATTACATGTCATTTTTGTAAAAAAGACATTTTAATTAAGGAGTGCCTCGGTTATCAGATAATTCTTTCTCTAAGCGGTCTCTTAAATATTATAATAAATAATAAAAGCAATGCATTCGTTCATTTGAAAAAGTGCTTTACTTTTGGGGATTTTTCATTTTAAACTATTGATTTCTTCATTTTATTTCGAAGTGGCACACCCAGTCCTCGGTTTAAATCCTTCGGCACGATGATAAAGTGTTCGTTTAAGTAAGAAGCCCTTCTGGGAGTGTTCAGGACACATTAGCGTTCCCACCATTACCACCTCTGAATGCGCTTTGAGTTTCTGAAAGTCTTTACACCAGTATTCACCTATTCACTGACCGGATTACTGATAAAACCTTAAGTACAATGGTGCCATACTGAACAAATTCCCCAAATATTTTACAAAAACAAACAAACAAGCAACAAACTACATTTTGTGAGCAGTAAAGAATAGGCTTCATGCTGAATGTCACATGAATGTCACATCACATCTGCTAGTCAGAGAAAGTGTTCACAGCAGTATGAACTGATATATACATTTACTTTTAATATGCTCGCCTGATATATTTATCAAATATATGATAATACATATCAGTCATGCTGTCGCTGGTGTGTAACATACCAGCTTTACAGTCAATAATCCACATCAGTAATGGATTATTATTGATTATTAATGAAATGTTGAGTGTGTGGCACTTCAGTGAACTGTGCTGCTTAATACTGCGCAACGCCAATGTACGTATATGTGCAGGTCATGTGTTCAACTTATTTCATTAAAGCACAAAACGTAATAAGGTTTGATACAAAATGTAAATGCAAACTGAAAATGTTTGCTATTAGATAAATAAATATAGACCTCTAATAGAATTAGCACTACTACTGGTACGTTAAACAAACACAAACCCTCTCTGTTAGTGTGTAACCTTCAGTCTGAGTCATTATCAGTGGGGCTAAGTAAGCATTGATTATCTGAGTGTGTATTTAAGGAGTAAACACATATCCCTGTGTGTGTGTGTGACAGTGCATGCGTTTACTTTGTTTAATTGGAGTTTGTGGGTGTTTGTATCTGTGTTTTTATGTGTGAGCACATGTGTGTGTTTTCTTTGCCCTTGCTGTGTGTGCCATCTGTACCGACTGTTTTCCTGGCAGAGACGACCATATGACAGGGTCGCTGGGACAGTTGCGTCATGGTTCAACGATGAAAGAGCTAATATGCCGTTACATGAAAGATAACCTCCGGCAGATGGGTAATCATTAGAACACTTGGGATAAGTGTGCAAGAGATTAATGAGTATTTCATTTAGAAATGGAGAAGTTAATCAATCGTCAGGCCACATTAAATGACCAGTCACAGCAATCCTTCCTCGTAGTTGCGCAGTCTGTTTCGTATAGAAATGCATGGAAAGCCAAACACTCACAAAAGTGAGATAAAGCTGAATGTTTTTTTCAATATTGTGTTTTTCTTCAATAAGTTGGTATAAGTAACCAGCGCAATCAAGCCAAAGCCCAAAAGAAATCTTTACTGTGACCAAAATAACTTAAATATTATACTTAAAAAACATAAATATTATTTAATTAAGTATATTTTATTATTATATTATTATGATGTATATGTATTAATAACAATAATACCATAATGAAATAATGAATAATAATGAAAGACAATCACTCTACAATAAAATGCATTTAATATTATTAACATACAGTTAATACTATTAATTATAAACTGTTAATACCATTAATTATTTTTATATTAATACCTATAATAACATAATAATGCTCATTACTTCAACTATACTACTAAAAATTATATATATATATATATATATATATATATATATATATATAGCACACTACATGAATAAAACAAAATATTAATTATTTAATAATAATATCAACAATAATAATTTTATAATTTATTATTATTCAATAATATCTATCTATCTATCTATCTATCTATCTATCTATCTATCTATCTATCTATCTATCTATCTATCTATCTATCTATCTATCTATCTATCTATCTATCTATCTATCTATCCTACTAAAAATAATATATATATATATATATATATATATATTTAGCACACTAAACGAATAAAACAAAAATATTCATTATTTAATAATAATATCGATAATATTAATTTTTTATAATTTATTATTATTTAATATCTATCTATCTACAGTATCTATCTATCTATCTATCTATCTATGTCAGAACAAATATAAATAAATAAATAAATAAATAACTATTACAATCAATACTACATAGAGGACATTGGAGACTTAAAAGTAAAAATAAGCTGTATCATTATCAGTCATAAAGAATAACAATGTTCAATATCTATGATACAAGACAATAATTACTAATAAAATTCTTTAAAAAAAAACCCCACGTCAAACAGGGTCCCGAACGCTGTTCTCATCAATAATGACCAGTTACAGCTCCCATGAGAGCTACAAAAATGATTAGTACAGTGTCACGCTAATGTAACTCCCTCTTCTCCTGATCCTGGATCTTCTCCCATGGGAACACTTTCCTTTAGCGCCAACCCACTAATAAAGCGCCTGGCTGACTGAGACAAAGAGCTAAAAGACAAGGGAGATATTGGGCTAATCACGCTGCTTGTTCTGCCACACACTCTCTCTCTCTCTCTCTCACTGGCAGAACGTCAGCTAATGTAACCTGACTTGTAGTGCAGCTGCCTACAGAGTAAAAAGTGCTGATGGCAAGAAGCCAAAGTCCTGTTCCCTGGACAGGTGGAAGCAGTCAGCCAATCAGCACGCTTCAAGTTAATCACACTGTGATTGGAGCAAGCGGTTCTTGCTAGTGTTCAAGTACAAGAGCTCACCTGGTGAGTATGGTGTGGTGCCTTGGGCCAAAACCGACTGAACGCCAGCTAAACAGCTTTCACATTGATGGAAGTGTTTGCGCTCTGTACTTGCATTCGTGTGTGTTTCAGGTCTTAAAAATGGGATGATGTGGCACACACACATACCTTTTTGCAGGCGGAGACAGAGGACCCAAGGGTGCTGTCAGATTTGACTTCCTGTGTGTCCGCGGACTCCGACCCCTCAAACATGGCAGATGATTGGAAATTACTGTGGAAAAAGAGAGAGACAACAACTGAATCCACAATCACTTCAATACAATACAAGTGTCCATCCACTTTCTCTGTGGCGTTGCTTCTGGAAAAATCTTTCCCATTCATTTCTCCAATAAGGATTTAATATATATATATATATATATATATATATATATATATATATATATACAGTATATATATTAAGCGTTATAAGGATTGAACCAAACTACGAGGTGAATCAGAACATTAAAGAAAACATTATTTGAAAATCAGACAAACAGACAAAAGGTACAAGACAAGTTTTTGGGAGAGAAAGAACTACAATCCCATGAAGCACTGCAAATGACATGGTTGAATTGAAACTGATGGAGAACTATAAAACGAATTGTTTAAAGTTGTGAATTTATAGAAACAATATATTTGTTAGGTTTATTCCAAAAGATGCATAAATAAACAAACATGTAAGTATTTTGACAGCATCGACTAGTCATATGTAGTGCTTCATGGGAGTGTGTCAGAGTTTTATTCGCTGACTGTAGCTCGCTTCTTTGCACGAAGAATGATATGACGAAACGAGTTTGTCCATTTAGGGCTACTGTAGAAACATCTTGGCGCAAAATGGCTATTTCAATATAACCTGTGGTGTATGTAGATGTAAAAGGCTCATTCTAAGGTAATAAAAACATAACGGTTCATTATGTTTGGTCTTTATACATCACTGAAAACACAGTTATTGCATTTCTGTCAACAGATCCTCCTAAATATGACACAATGCACCTTTAAAGGCAAGTTATTGCTAAAAATCTATTTCTGGGAGAACCTGACTCTTGCACTAACAACTGTCTTATTTTCCTCTTACTATAAAATATTAAGTCTGAAGAAGTGCTAGAATGGTATTGCATTCACTTGAAGAAAAAAAAATCTACTCTGTTTTTCTGAATGAACGAGTTAATTATCTCAGAATTACGAGACAATTTTTCATGGGAAAAAAGTTTTTGCTCTGTTTTTCTGAATTAATGACTTGATTATCTCAAAAACTTTATCTGAAATGTATCTGATTATCAGAAAAAAAATGTTTTTCAAGAAAAATGTATCTCTTAATTCTGAGATAATTAACTCTTTAATTCAGAAAAACAACAAGACTTTTTTTCCGCTAATTAACTCGTTAATTAACTCGTTAATTCAGGTAAAGAGTAAAAAAAAAATTCCATGAAAAATTATCTCATAATTCTGAGATAATTAACTTGTTAATTCAAAAACAGTTTTCAATGAAAAATGATCTCATAATTCTGAGATAATTAACTCGTTAATTCAGAAAAACAGAGTAAAAACTTATTTCTATGAAAAATGATCTTGTAATTCTGAGATGATTAACTTGTTAATTCAGAAAAAAAGAGCAAACACTTTTTTCCATGAAAAATTATCCCGTAATTCGGAGATAATTAACTCGTTAATTCAAAAAAACAAAGCAAAAACTGTTTTCCATGAAAAATTATCTCATAATTCTGAGATAATTAACTCGTTAATTCAGAAAAACAGAGTAAAAACAGTTTTCCATGAAAAATGATCTCGTAATTCTGAGATAATTAACTCGTTAATTAAAAAAAACAGAGCAAAAACAGTTTTCCATGAAAAATTATCTCGTAATTCTGAGATAATTAACTCGTTAATTCAGAAAAACGGAGTAAAAACTTTTTTCCATGAAAAATGATCTCGTAATTCTGAGATAATTAACTCGTTAATTCAGAAAAACGGAGTAAAAACTTTTTTCCATGAAAAATTATCTCGTAATTCTGAGATAATTAACTCGTTAATTAAAAAAAGAGTAAAAACTTTTTTCCACGAAAAATGATCTCGTAATTCTGAGATAATTAACAGAGTAGATTTTGTTTCCTGTGAATGCAATGTGAATGCAATACACTTCCGTAAGAATAGGTTAGCAACTTTTAGAAATCGGAAGTTTAGAAGTCGGAATAAAACAAAGCTCCCTCTCACATGGCATTTGCCGATAATGGCACAATGAAAAGAGACAATGAGAGTGGGAATAGAAAAGAAAATAACATGGACAATTTAATTAAGTTTGTTCAGATTAATTGGCTCTGGGGGCACACTGAGAGAGGATGAAACAGTCAATCCTCTGAGGTGACAGAAGTACAGCATTACCCAGATCATAGAGTGTGCAGTGATGTTCTTCTGCTCCAGAACATTTCAATTTCAGCTCCTCCATATTCCCCCTCAACACAGCCAAATTAGCCTCTTTTGTTTATATTATAAATATTCATATTTTCCCAGCGGAATGTTTGTGCACAGAACAAAAAAGCACCATAAAAGGATCATTAATCGATCTGATCATTACATTAAATAATCATCTCATGTGATCAAAGCCAAGTTGAAAAACACGTGGGAGCCACAGGATTTAAGACCTGGAATATAGTTTTACTACATAAAGGTATCTAATAGCATCAGTGGGGACTTTTACTGTGTGACCTTTTCTGTCCAGTGTTTTTTCGGCCCTGATGGCCACGGGTTCTTCTGACCTGTGTGCAAAATTTCAAGAGTTTGAGCACGTTAAGGGCCCCAAAAGTGGCAAAAACCTTGAAAAAAATAATAGTAATAAAATATAGCTGCGAGCATCGATTATGGGCCCAAACCAGTGGCATCAACATACATTTCCACCCAGTCAAAATAAAATAATAGGGGGTGAAAATGACATGACAATAAATGACCCTTGTGACAATAAATGACCCTTGTGACAATAAATGGCCCGTGTTTTTTTTTGTTTATGTTTTTTAAAGATACTCTGAAGTCCTCAGAGGACAAAAACAGCAATATCAAAAAACTGTCACAAAAATTTGAAGCTTTCGAAAACAGACTTAAGTTTGGAAACATTTTAAGTTATAGAGGTTTAAGCTTATGAAAATGATTTATGAACATTCTTTTATATAAAATATATATTTAATAAAACATATTGAACTCAAAAAATCAAAGCCATAAATCTAAACAAGTTTGATATCTCAAAATATCAGCTTTCAGTAATATTTTGTTTGGGGCGCAGTACTATTTGAGCAAAGCTTCACTGGTGTACACAATGGTTGGATGTGTGATTCGCAGTAGTGTTTCTCTCTCAAATATTACAATAATTATATCAATTATTAAATACAAGTTAAAATAAAATTATTAAATATGATAAAAAATGTATTGCACACATACAAATCACACTCTGACATCCATATGAACACCCCACACAATTATAGCTGCATCATTTATCCAATATGCAGAAGCAGAAAAAAGAAATAAAGTGAGTATTTTCTTAATAGGCCAAACATGAGAAAATGGCACCATCTGGAAAAAAATTGTTTTGAAAAATAAAAAAAGTATACATTTTAAGTTGACCATGTCAACAGACTGAAATCCTGTTGATTTTTGCAGTATTTTATAGATAAATGGCCATGGGATTAAAAATAAAAATTTTGTCCTAAAGTCCTGAGTGAAACTGTTTTGTGTACGTCAAAATAGATTTACAGTATAAAAGGAAATGGGGGTGAAATTATAAAATTCCAATAAAAATGCACTCTTGTTGTGCCAAAATCTATGCAGTTGTCATTAACAGGCAAAATGGTCAAAAAAACTAAACTGAAAAACATAAAAATGTCCATAAGGTTGCACAAGGGTTAAATGACGAACTGTTGTCAATGGCCCAGTTTCACAGAATTATGCCAGGATTAAGCCTTACTAAAGAGGATATTAAGTATCTCTCATAAATATACATTAGAAAATAAAAAAACATTGCTGATGTGCTTCTTGAGACAAAACAATGGCATAATGTAGCCCTCAAATCGTATTCACTTTATAGCCCTTAATCGTGTAATTGTGGACAAATGTGGGCACAGAGGACTCAGGTGTGATCCTAATTTTTATTTATTATAAATGTTATATCACTGTCTTCGATAAAGTTTTGTCTATCCATTATCCGTTTTTTTTTTTTTTAAATTTTGGGGGTATTTTTGAATGTATTTACTTGAAAAAGTAGCATAGTTTTCTGTGCAAATTATGCTTATTTTTATGTTTTATTTTTTCAAATTTTTTAACTACATTAAAATATCATTCCAATAAGTTTTTTAGAGCTAAAACCTAAAGATGTAGTGACTTTGTTGTCACCTGGTGTCTTATTTTGCCTTATTTTAGAGTGCTCTAAATTACAGTTTTCCCCATTCATTTCTATGGGTGCCCATTTTTGACTGAAATACAAGATTTCACACACTTAACAATGTAGAATTGAGTCAAAAAAATTGTGTGTGTTCTGGCAAACTTAGGAAAAGTAGCCAAGTATTGTACTGCTCAGATCAAGGGAAATATTTTTTAAAAATAAATCAAAACTATTTTGCCCAGAATACGGTTTTAGGGTTAAGATATATCAGTGCAAGTTGCTTTCAGCTCAAACATACATTTTAGTCTGAGACTTGGTTAAGCCATGTCTGTGGAACTGGGAGAAAATGAACTAATTGTGAAATGTGAACTAAATGCGAGTCAAAACACGTGAGCTATTCTTTATTTTCTATAATAAAATCTTTAAACACCATCTAGCGCCTTCCGAAATAGACCGCTAAACATATTATCGATGTTCAAAAGGACTTTTTACAAAATCAATGACCTCAATGACTAGTCGACCTTGAGGAAGCCCTGTGTAAGAAAGCCGGTTTCAGGGAGCGTTCAGACATATTCTTGCGATCAAACACTAGTGCAACGCAATGGAAAAAAGCACAGACGACAAGTGTTTTTCAATGTCTGGACTGGATTGAAATTGACATGGTGTGATTTGAAACACAACCCTCGTGGAAGGATGTTCAAAAGAACAGCTTGAAGATGTGACGTGTGTGACATGACGTCTTTCACATTTCAGAGAGGGTTATATACCGCGAAAGCTCAAACACAACATGCTGTGAGTACGAAATTAGAACAGAAATATAAACCAGTAACTAGAATACCATTGTGACTTATCATCTGTGTGTGTGTGGTTTTGTTCCTCTTTATTTCAAGCCCTTGTTTTTCACCCTTGAGGAAATACTCGTTCGACCGGGCTTTCGTCAAAGTCATAAAGGTTAGTTAACAAATGACATAAGCTCTCCTTTCAGGACGGCAAACACTTGAGCATCCGGAGGCTTTACTGCTTTGTTCTGAGGTTCTGTCAGCCTATATTCACCTGAAATGACTATGAATATCTTATGGCCCTGAATCGAGGATTACCCATGAGCCTTGAGGGACTCGTGAGGGATCAAAATAGCCTCAAACACAAGCTATTGTCTTGACACAATGTGTGGTTCAAGTGATGGATTTGAAAATGTGAGAAACGCACAGCACTTCAAATGTCTTCCATCAACACTCCGGGCTGCCAAGGCTGCCATGTTAATGATAAAACAGAGTTATTTTTTTAGTTATGTTCAGTTAATTTTAGATTAGCTCAGTAATCTCATCACTATGGTCAATAGTTGTTTGCTTCTGGCTATGTGACTAACAGTGTGTGTGACAAGCAATTTGTCTGTCCACACCAGACACAGACAAAATCAATCACAAATCACAGCCAATCAGAAGAGCATGTGGGCGGAGTCTCCCCAAGAGTACTGCTGTCTACACTGTATGTACTCAAATAAACATCAAATGATTTTAACATTTCTCAAAATCTGAACACAAGCACAATCTTTGCCATTGACTACTTGTTTTTTCACAGGTCTGAGGTAAATTATCCATCGTTGCTTTCATTATGGTGTCACCCAAAATTAATTTCAATTTTAGTATGTTACAAAACATACAAGTACGTAAGCTGATCATTGAGCTGTCAGTCATGATGTACCTGAAATAGAAACCATTGCAAAAATAAAAGTCCCCTGCGGCTTGTCGTGTATCACAGACGGTTGGGACAAAAACTCAGTTAAGCATGGAAGAGATAACCAACATCGCATTTGGTTAGGACACTGAGTCATCTACAATTTTTGCCATTGCTCATTTTCTCCCAAATCACTTAATGAAATATCCTGCGGGCTGCAGCAGGAATATATCTAACGCAAATGAAGCATCACAAGAGTTGTATGAATGAATTCCAAGTATATTCAGATGCCTAGTGAAGTTCTGCATCAAAGGTCGGCTTCAGTTCTGGAGCCAGTTGGTCACAGTTCATTTAGCCTAATGGTACGTCTGCATTTTCTCATTTATGAGCTGTTGTTTTTATGTAAACACATGCTAAACATTTGCATTCACATCTCTGAGTCTTTTGCAGAATCTTGACACGGCCTCTAAAACCGTTCTGCTTAAGTTAAAATAAGTTGAGCGCCATTTTACTTTCTGTGTTAACTGGCTCTTAGTGTGTTAGAGGGATAGTTCACTTTGAAATTAATTTTTGGAATGTTTTATCTTACCTCAAGGGCATCCAAGATGTAGGTGTCTTTGTTTCCGCAGTATTTTCAATTTTTACATTTTTAGGTCAAACTGTTCTTGTCTGTCAGTCATATAATGGAGGTCTATGGTCACCAAGTCCAAATTAAACATGATTTAATGACTCGTAAATGTAAGTACACATTGATGGCCTAAGACACGAAACGAGCGGTTTGTGTGTGAAAACGAACAGTATTTATATCGTTTTTACCTCTTGTAACCACAACCACGTCCAAGTGATCTGAGGGTCTGCGCAAGCGCTGGAAAGCACCGGAAGTGATCTCTCGCACGTGTACGTCACTCATTGTTTACACAGAGATTTCGGAAGTGTTACCTTTCACTGTGAAGATCAAAACATATACAGAAAATCGCAATGGAAGACGATTATGATATATCAAGAGACAACGTTGAATTTTTTACGCAACCGAGAGATCCCTTCCGGCGCAGACCGAAGCGCCCGCGCCCTCAGATCACTTGGACTGTGGTTACAAGAGGTAAAAACGATATAAATACTGTTCATTTTCTCACACAAACCGCTCGTTTCGTGTCTTAGGCCATTAATGTGTACTTACATTTACGAGTCATTAAATCATGTTTAATCTCGACTTCTCTGTGCATGCTCTTTGAGGTGGTGACCATAGACCTGCATTATATGACTGACAGACAAGAACGGTTTGACCTAAAAATATCAAAATTGAAACAACTGTGGAAGCAAAGACACCTACATCTTGGATGCCCTTGAGGTAAGCTAAAACATACCAAAAATTTATTTCAAAGTGAACTATCCCTCTAAGTTTGCCTCACTATTGATGTGTTAATTAAACAGCATGAGTCTTCGCACACATTATTTGTTTGGATGCACATACATATTTGTAATTATGACAACGTAAAGCAGCTAAAGAGACGGTCGACTTGAGTCGCATCCTCGTAGCTCAACCAGAAGTGATGATTTTAGCTAAATTTACAGTAAAACCATTCTTGTAACATTTGCAAAAGCACACTCGTCTGTGTAGCTCGTGTCAGATTGAACTCTCTTTCTCCTTTTAATGCAATTGTTTGACACAAAACCATAAATGCCATTTGACAGCCATCGGATGCACTTCTCTTGTGATTGCTTTGCAGCTCAATGAAAACAGAAGTTAAAAATCATCAAATGATCCCCGGAGGACATGCCTGATGAGTTTGGATGTGTCGTGGGCCTGAGCACACTGAATCTCTAGTCTTTATGGAAATCATGTCAATGGTTATGTGAAGGGTTGTTATTGTTTATCAACAAAAAAAAATGGAAACATTTTATAGCCTGAGGACAGTAATGGTGCTGAAACATGATAAACACTTTGCACATGATGACCTGTCAAAAGCGCATTCAATTTGTCAGTCAAAGCTTCGGCAAGTGATGCAAATATTGTTTTAAAGCCATGTTTACGCCACCAGCGAACTGAACTGAATTTTCAATGAGAGTTGCCCAGCTAACAGGGGTCATTCACAGAACTTTATAATTTCAAAGTTATGAGCCAGCGTTCTACCAGTAACGTAGATAGAATGTTTGTTCAAAGTTAACTTGTTTCAGAATGTTCAGAGAAAGTTCAAAAATAAACATTCCAATAATGTTTGCAAAATTACCAAATGAAATTGTTCCTTATACGTTCAGATAAGCAAGAAAAATAACTTAAAAACATGTAAATAATGTTTTAAACGTTCAGAGGAAATTTAAAAATAATGTTTTAACTTAATGAGAATGTAGTGAAACGTTTTAGGACATATTTCTGTTAGCTTTGATAAGCAAAATGAACAATAAATAAATGTAATTTCCCACATTTCTGAAACCATGCGCCCTCTTTCCAAAACCCAAGACTTAAATATAGTATGCCAAGGAACCTGAACATCTAAAATGATTACCAGGCAGTAAACCTCTCTGATTGGCTAACATGGGCAGTCCGCTCACCTGACCCTTTTTCTGTTTACAAATCTGTTTATTTAATGCAGTTTTAAGTCCGATAATTCGGCCATTGTACTACTATAATATTTTAAATCTAAAAAAAAAAATATTCGACGATACATATCTGTCCAGAAAAGCTATATATTACAGACAATTTGTTAATTAACATTTCCGAGATGTGTTTGGCGCATTTGTGCTCTCCGCGCGCGCGTGACACAACTCGTAGCGTGACTGTACTTTATTTTTCTTTCAGACTGTTCCCTCAAACAATCTTTAATTTCATGTTGTTAATGAACTTTAAGATTGTAATGACACTTCGTATTAAATTCATTTCGCTGTCATGGTTTTAAAATGATGCTGTTGACCGTTCAGGTCAGAGACTGAGGTGAAAGGAGAACCGCGCTTTTCACGCTTCTCACTTATTATCACAATGGTTTAAGATTGACAACCGAGCCCAGATATCCGTCACAGTAGTCTCAGCTGGTAATCCTTGTAGTTCGTCAGATATTTGGGAAAGCGGTGGGTCTGCTTGAGGGAAGAATGATAAAAATGACCGAGTTTCCCCACAGCCAGCGCGCGCGAACAGATGCGCAATAAATGCTGCGCGACGAGGAACCACCTGAGATAAATGGCTTGTTTTACAAAGACATTGAGCTATTTTATGTGCTTAATCGTCCTGAGACACGAGCATGAATTCTAGGCTACTATACAATACCTTTGACGTTTATTTTGGAGGATTGAGCAAACAGCTACAGCTGAATAAGCAGAATGGCGCTCAATCTGAATCTAAACAAACTCGACTCTTTAAGTCGAATGTATTTAAAAAGCAAACGAATTCACACCGCATATTGGAGCTTGTACACATTTTTCACTTTCTATAGCGAGTCCATGCACAATTATTGATTACTAATTTAAGTCTTTTATGTGTCGTTTACAAGTGAATCTGGTTCAACACCCAAAAATGTCAGACTATATTGCCAAGAAGCATATTAAAGGAGAGAATCGGACATAATGATGTATGTCATGTTAAGAACCGTGCGTCGTGCTCCACGATTTAAGATGAAAAGGTAAACATGCGCACACTTACCCCAATGTTTTCAGAAGGCACTGCTGAGCTTCTGTCACTCATCCAACAAAACATAAAAAACGAGCACTAAGGGTAGCTTTATACTCCTATATCCTGAGTGCCACGAAGCCAAAGCACTGTAGCGCGTGCCGGTCCCCCTGTCCCGAGCGCGAGCACATCACAGTCTGAATCTGTCAGTGCAGCGGAGGAATTTCCAGCGCTCGCGCAGCGCTCTGCTGTTGGTTAATATAGTGGCGCGCGGGAGCTGCGCACAGGCTGGACGGCAGCGCGTGCCAGAGACGGCTGGACCGGGCAAGCATAATCAAAACTCTATACGTCACTGCGGGTTCATTTCATAAACACAAAGCTGTAACGCGTCGGTGCTCATAATAAGACCAACTGTAAAAGGAAAATGAGGACATAACGATAGTTCACGAAATGCAGTTACACTGAATATGGAACATGTGCAGACTGATATCAGCAAATAGAAATTGGCATTATATAGCCCATATACACTCACCGGCCACTTTATTAGGTACACCTGTCCAACTGCTCGTTAACACTTAATTTCTAAGCAGCCAATCACATGGCGGCAACTCGGTGCATTTAGGCATGTAGACATGGTCAAGACAATCTCCTGCAGTTCAAACCGAGCATCAGTATGGGGAAGAAAGGTGATTTGAGTGACTTTGAACGTGGCATGATTGTTGGTGCCAGAAGGGCTGGTCTGAGTATTTCAGAAACTGCTAATCTACTGGGATTTTCACACACAACCATCTCTAGGGTTTACAGAGAATGGTCCGAAAAAGAAAAAAAAAATCCAGTGAGCGGCAGTTCTGTGGGCAGAAATGCCTTGTTGATGCCAGAGGTCAGAGGAGTGGCCAGACTGGTTCGAGCTGATAGAAGGGCAACAGTGACTCAAATAACCACCCGTTACAACCAAGGTGGGCAGAAGAGCATCTCTGAACGCACAGTACGTCGAACTTTGAGGCAGATGGGCTACAGCAGCAGAAGACCACACCGGGTGCCACTCCTTTCAGCTAAGAACAGGAAACTGAGGCTACAATTTGCACAAGCTCATCGAAATTGGACAATAGAAGATTGGAAAAACGTTGCCTGGTCTGATAAGTCTCGATTTCTGCTGCGACATTCGGATGGTAGGGTCAGAATTTGGCGTCTACAACATGAAAGCATGGATCCATCCTGCCTTGTATCAACGGTTCAGGCTGGTGGTGGTGGTGTCATGGTGTGGGGAATATTTTCTTGGCACTCTTTGGGCCCCTTGGTACCAATTGAGCATCGTTGCAACGCCACAGCCTACCTGAGTATTGTTGCTGACCATGTCCATCCCTTTATGACCACAATGTACCCAACTTCTGATGGCTACTTTCAGCAGGATAATGCGCCATGTCATAAAGCTGGAATCATCTCAGACTGGTTTCTTGAACATGACAATGAGTTCGCTGTACTCAAATGGCCTCCACAGTCACCAGATCTCAATCCAATAGAGCATCTTTGGGATGTGGTGGAACGGGACATTCGCATCATGGATGTGCAGCCGACAAATCTGCGGCAACTGTGTGATGCCATCATGTCAATATGGACCAAACTCCCTGAGGAATGCTTCCAGCACCTTGTTGAATCTATGCCACGAAGAATTGAGGCAGTTCTGAAGGCAAAAGGGGGTCCAACCCGTTACTAGCATGGGGTACCTAATAAAGTGGCCAGTGAGTGTATATACAGGCTATTACTAGACATCCAAGATAGGACAGACAGACAGATAGACAGATATAGATGGATACCCCGACAGCAAAATATCCGGCCCAGCCCACATCTGGTCTGTGTGGAATCCATGTGTACCGGATGTGGGTCGACACTATTTGTCTGTCTGTCTGTCTGTCTGTCTGTCTATCTATCGATCTAAAAAAGGTACGAAAGCTGTCACTGGGGGCTGTACCTTTTCAAAAGGTAAACCTTTGTCCATTTTAGGTGCTATTATGTACAATTTAGGTGCTAATATGTACCCTTAAGGTACAAAAGTGTACCTACCTATCTATCTATCTATCTATCTATCTATCTATCTATCTATCTATCTATCTATCTATCTATCTATCTATCTATCTATCTATCTATCTATCTATCTATCTATCTATCTATCTATCTATCCATCCATCCATCCATCCATCCATCCATCCATCCATCCATCCATCCATCCATCCATCCATCCATCCATCCATCCATCCATCCATCCATCCATCCATCCATCCATCCATCCATCCATCCATCCATCCATCCAGATAGATAGATATTGTAATTGGTCAACATTTCTTTTGTTTTTCCAATTTCCTCTTTACTAATTACAAAAAAAAAAACTAAATATAATATGTAGTCACTAAATTAATATGAGGTCATACAAACTTTATGTAGGCTACAATAACACAGAAGTATCTGAAAAGTTTTGTTTCAAATCACTTTACATGAATTGTAATGTCACACCGCGGGACAGTGATGTACAGAAACTGCTTGAATTTTCGATTTTCATTTATGAAACCATCTTGGTATTAGCTTTCAGAAAATTGAGGGAAAATTGTCTGAGGGAGTGACTTCTCTCTTTCTCTATCCTGATCCTCATAACCAAGCACTAAATATATATCTATCATGACTTTTATATTTTGCTATTGGATTAAATGGGAACACAAAAATGATATTTGATACCATTATAGCTTTGCCCATCTATGATGACTTCCGCTTCCGAGAACCGTGCAAATAGAAGTTCAAAAGTGCAGCTCATCTCAAAAGAAGTGTTGTTTTTTCACACCCCATAATATATATTTCATTGATTTATCATGGAGAAAGGGAGAGAAAAGAGAAACTGCTGTCTGCATCTTATAGTGCATTATAGATGTAAAGACTAAACAAAACCCAACAGTGATTCCCTGTTTCCATTACAGATTCAGTGTCTTCAGTACGTCTCAATACACTGCAAAATATCCTCTTTTAACCTTCAGTCCCCAGTCAATGACATTAAAAGCTGCCTCTCTTTAGGGACGTGCATTAATGACATTACTTGTTCCAGTTTTATTGTGTAATATAAATGATGCAGAAGGCAGCAGATGTTTAATCACAGCCTCTCCTGACACTATTCTGAACACACGTTTCATTTGCTGACTGACAAGACTGTTATTGTCCAAACACTGATACGCGTCCGACGTCTCTCTCATCCGTCTGTCTGGACTCTCTCTGCATTATTCAGAGTCGTGCTGGGCTCGTGATGATGATTGACAGCTGTCACTGTGACTTTGATGACAGCAGAGAGCCGGCCTGAGGGTTATGGATATACAATCTTCCTCATTATGTTCTTGATCAATTTCTCTTTCTCATTACATAGAGATTTCAATCATAAGGGAGTAGGGATGCACTCATCTGATACTCGATCAGAAAATTCGATGCTCTGTGATATGGTTGTTACTATTTTAGGCTCAAAAAGGACAAAAAAAAAAACATAAATGAAGACTTCATATGCAAAAGTCCGTCTAAAGATTTTGTTTAATATTAACGTTTTTATCAGGCTCCTATGTATAGGTTTCAATCCAAGTACCGGCATTTCTGAATGGGCTGAAGGAGGGATTTAGTGAGTTTGAAGTGAGAGTATTTGATTTTTGCATTGGAGGTCTTCAAATGTTTTTGTGCACTATATTCCAGGTCTGTTGGCTCAGACCAGATTGTTTCCCTCGTGCACCGATGAGCTTTGGGAGCCCAACACCCTGTCGCTGGTTTGTGGTTTGTCCCTCCTAGGCAGCCCGTTCTCATCCCAAGACGTCATATAACTGACGCTTTTGACCATACGTCAACATCCAATGTTTTAGGGTACCCTTTAACGTCGTTTTAGAAGATGACGCTATCTAATCCTAACCCTACCCCAGACCTAAACGTACCCGCGTCATCTAACTGACGCTAAAGGTAAAGCGCCCTAGGATCGTCATACCTCAAGCCTGTTTTATGCTTCTGCGTCGAATCGACGGCGTACCCCCGCAGACACCTATCCGTCGACGCGAACCCCTCTCCGACCCCTCCGCCGTAGCTCGACGTGCACCTCCAAAAATTTGTAACTACGCGTCGAGGCGACGCAGACAGCAAGGGCTTTGATTGGTCAGATTAAACATAATTTCAGGAGTGTAGCTTTTCTGATTTCCCTCTCCTGTTATAGCGCTATTTTTAACATTTGCACCCTCGTTTTTTTAATTATAACACTCTTAAAGAAAGTAACGTTAAATAAAGAATTAAACTAAAAATAAACTGTTTTTTTATTTCATTGTTAATATATATGTCTATATTCTTTTCTTTCTTTCTCGCAATAAACTTCAATCAATCAATAAATCAACGTTTGTTTTGAAACACAGTTTGTTGTTTATTTTCAATACAATGTTCACGGTTACATCATTGATAATACAGTACTAACCAAGTCTGCCACGGGACACATTATCCTGCCATAGCACAGTTCCATGTGGAGACTGAAAAAAATCCTTCAAGTCATTCCGAACAGGTATCGTTATGGCAGCTCGGGTGGAACCTTTATTTTACTGTCTATGGGTGGAACGGGCCCTGGACATCCGTGTTGATTCTGTGGGGATAAAGTTTTGTGTCGTCTTGTTATTCAACGTCGATTAGCTCCAGCTGGCAGCTGCAACAACATTATCTCTCTTTCGCTCGCGGCGCACGGAACCAAAGAGATTCGCGAACCCCCTAGCGTTCTGGCGGCGAAATGCACCGCGAAGCACCACAACCTCACGCAGAAGTATAAAACGGCCACGACGCCGTAGTAGTGACGACGTAGCTACGCCGTGGAGTTGACGCAGAAGCATAATGAGGCCTTTAGGGTGACCACCCGTCCCGCGTAGCGCGTACGTGCACAGCGTTTGAAGCCCAATTCATGCATCCTGCAAATTGAGACCGTGTCACGCATAATCAATGCTTGCTCAAAAAAAAATCCTCGAGACCCAGGCAGCCAAACGTTGTGCCTGAACACGTTCACGTTCATGAACTCGTTCATATTTTGGGTGAACTGAACGTATTGTTTTACTGCCTGTCCTGATGAACGTTACTGTGAACTCGTTCATTCTGGTGTCTGTGAACGCACGCTCTCTCAGTTTAACTTTGTTCAATAGGGTGCCAGATTTAGAGCCTTCCAGGCGAAAACCCGGCTAAAACTCACCGTAAACAGGGCTTAATATGTAGCGAAAAAACACCCAATCTGGCAACACAAGCCACCAG